TATTATTATCCCTTCCCTAGCTTACTTTTCTAAATAGAAAGATTAGAGTCACTTCCACTCATCATATTTTATTTTCAAATTGAAACTGGAAATCTTTTCTCTAAAATGGGAAATATTTTAGTCATTATTTTATAAATGAGCAAGACTCAGAATAGTAGGCCCTCTCTTTTGTTTCCCCATAATTTGAATATCATGATTTAAGTTTTAGATAGGGGAGTTGAGTTGCATAAAAAAAGAAGGAATGAAGTAAGATAAAAATAGAAAAATGAACAAAGGTGATAAAATAATCTAAAGGATGATTCTTTGAAGATAATAGTAAATAATATTAGTCTAATGAAGAGATGAAAGGAGAAATAGAGAAAGAACAGATATACCAAAGAAGAAATAGTAAGGGAGAAAAAAGTAGGTATCAGGAAAATCAGTAAGTTTTAAGAGATTCTTTTGCTTAAGAAGATTCAGATAAATATTTTAAAATCCAGACTAAAAAATTAAATGGTTTTCTAAGAAATACTACTTTCTGCAGAGGATAGAGGAGACAGAAAAATCTAGATGGAGAAATTACTATTCACAAGCCAGAAGTAAAATTGGGTGATAAAGCACCTCTGTAAAATGTATCCGAGCCAGTTATTTTTGCAGGGAAATGCCACCAAGTATTTCAGGGAAGAGAACATTGCAGGGCTGTGAGGATGTTTTCAGAGCACATTAAAAGATAGAAAGCTTTCATGGTTTTAAAAATAATGAAAGAACTATAACAGTGGTAAACCCAATGAAGGCAGAACTCAAAAGTAAATGTCAGTCTCAGTTGTGAAAATTGATATATAAATTCCAAATAAATATATAAACATATTAATCCTAAATAAATTCTAAGTAAACATATAAATTCTAAATTCTGTAAATTCCAGTGGACATTACAAGACTAACACAACAGTATATACTGAAAGGACAATGAAATTGAATATTCATTCTTTTAAAAAATTCTTAATAAATTTAGAATGTATCTACAGCAATGTGAAGTCAAAATTCATCATATTAAGGACAGGAGCAAAAAAGGTTGTGATCTCATGAGTTTTATTACTTTTTTTTCCTGCCCGTATTGACTAAGAAAATCAGCTAAAAGAGAGAGAGAGAGATTAGTAGTATCAAGTTGGAAAGGAGGGTGTGCAATTGGCACTGTTGCCTCTGCCCTGTTTGTTGCTTTGTTTTGGGATCAGTTATTTCTCTTGACAGCCAATTTTAACTTAATTTTTAAAAAGAGAGCCCAACCATTCCTTTACTGTTCTTTTACTATTTCTGTACAACATACTTTGAAGTTTCCAGCTCTTCTTGATTGCCACTGTCTCTTACTGATTTTCTTGTTTAGGAATCAGAGTTCCCTCACCTCTACGTCCATGTTTTAAATGAGGAAAGTAGGTTGGGGGTGCAGGTAAGTGCTAATTCCAGACTGGGTACTATTAATATAGTAGGGATTCAGACTGCTGAGAAGTTATTTTCAGTACTTGTTTTATACTCAGAAACCAGGAAAAGGATTACAGCTTTCACTTATTTGATACAATTCAGAAGACTATGGCGGTTTTCTAATGTAACACTTCTGCACATCACTGAGAGGTGTACACAGATGACCACTTTGGACTACCTCCTAAGCTGGATTCATGCTTTGATTATTGAAGCTTCTCTTTAAAAGCCCTACAATATGCAACTAAAATTATTGACATCCAGTTCCCTTGCTAAAATTAAATATTTGCAGGAGGTATGTCAATGAAGGTAATTGTAGCTTTCTTATAAGAACTCATTGCATACAGAAATTGTTTTTAATTTAGCTGACCTTTTCTGATTACAATGTTAATATAGCAAACAAACCCTTATGGACCGATACATCTGTACTGTTTAATAGAGCCTAATGTGTAAAGATCTTGAAATGTCCTTCTTTCTATATAGTGTATCTAAAATTCTTCTGCATGGCCTTATTTTATGATTTTACTTTTGAATGAGTGTGTCTTTTCATCAGATGAAATTAATTTAACCAGAGTATCCTCATCTCACCAGACATCTATATCCTCACAACTCGTTGTCTTGCTGTTGCTCAGGGGAGAAAAAGGAAGTACACTGTTATTATGTGGTTGAAGCTACAGTAGAAAATACTTAAATGAGATTTTGCAGGTTTGGCTCTATCTTCTATTTAATGATGGATGCTAGTTTGCTTACTGATGATTAAGCCACCTTTTGATTGTACATCTGTCCACTGGATTCTAAAATGTTGCCACTCAGGAAAATTTGCCTAACTCTATCAGTGAATTTTCCTGGGATATAACAATAAATTATAGAGTGTGTAATGTGAAACTAAGTCCTGTTCTCCAACAGGAAAGCTACTAGCCATATGTGAGTATTTCAATTTCAGTTAATGAAAATTACATGAAATTAAAGAGTCAGCTCCCCAAGTGCACCAACCATACTGCAAGTGGGCAGGAGCCACATGTGGCAGTGGCTGCACACCTGGACAGGTAGGTGTGGGACATTTTAGAAAGTTTCACTAGATGGCCTTCGGTGATGTCTGTGAGTGTCACCTCTTTGTTTTAAAATCATTTTTTCCCTTTGGTATTATGAATACTAATGAAGACTAGAATTTCTGTCAGTATTTTGTTTTGTTTTGTTTTGTTTTTTTGTGGTACCAGGGATCAAACTCAGGACTTTGCACTTGCAAGGCTGGTGCGGTGCCACTAAGCTAAATCCCCAGCCCTCTGTCAGTATTTTTAGAAACAGAGAGCAGCTCAGAATTATTTAGAATAAGTCTTTACACTTTTCTACCAACTTAATTTCTAAGATTATGTAGTAAAGTAACACACATATCAATGTGAGATTGCCCGCGTTTTGAAATTCTAGGAAAACACGTGAATTCTTGAGATGGTACAAAGTGCAGGGTTGGGCAAGGAGAGGGTGGGCCATTCTCTTTCTTGGTAGGGACCTAGACAAGATGGTGAAGGTGAAACTATTTGCAGAATCGAACTCAGGACCTTGCCCTTGCAAGGCAGGCGCCGGAACCACTGAGCTAAATCCCCGGCCCTGGTTCTAATTATTAATACAAGTTGATCCAGAGCAAGTTGAAGCCATCAGAAAGCAAAGATGAAGAGGAGGGATGGAAGGGAGTCCCAGCACTCCTCTAGCTGTTGGGAGGGATCATTGCATTCCATCTCTCTTCAGACTCTCCGGTTCCCTGCTTGCAGGGCACATTCATGCAGCAGGGAAGGAAGTGTGTGAGGAGCTCAGGAAGGTTGATCCTCAGAGAGGCAGGGGAGCTGCTTAAGGGCTCTGATGCTGACCCACCCCACGTGGCCGGGCCCGGAAGCCCAGTTCCGACTCTTGCTACCGTGGGAGTGTACCAAGTTATTTTGCCCATGCATGTCTGCTTATTTGTAAAATGAGACCATCTTACTACCTACCCTTTCAGGGCTTGTAGGCTTCTTGTGGGCTAAGGAATGAAAATACTAAGCGCATTAAAGACTATAGTGCTAGTATTGGTAGCAAATGTTACGTAGGTATCACAGTGCCAAATAAATAGAAGCCTCTCTGTTATAGCAGGGAAGCATACATTTAAACAAGTAACTGCAATAAGGCTGGATGAGTTTTATTACAGGAGGTCAGTGTTCTATGAGCTTATATGTTGAGGTGATGTAATTTCTGATAATTTAAACAAAATTAATTTAGCTTTTAGTATGTCTGGGTTTTATTTCAAGTCATACTTTAATAGTTTCTTAGATCAAATCTTACTCTTTTTAGGGTTTGTATTCTTTAAATTTTGTTTATCACACCGATATGATAAATGTTTAAAGATTCCAAGATAGTAAGTAAAAATGTTGCCCTGACCATCCTGGTAATAGTGTAACTGTTCAGATCCTTTCCCCATTGCTTTACATTTTGTGCCCGGTTGCCAAAAAAGTAATAGAATCCTCTGTTAGCAATAGCATCTGGCTAATCAAAATAAAGTCTGTCTTCCAGACTTTTACAGGAAAGTTTGGTTAGCTTTGAGTATAATTAAAGAATGTATTATTGGATACCTATTAAAAACAGGAAATGTGAGGTGCAACTGTTTTTCATATATAGTGAAAGACAGGTTTCTTCAGCTTTAAGCAGAGGCTAAATTGAGTTTTGAAGTATAAGATATTAAGGACACCTACGTAAGAGGGAAGTGGATTAAACTTAAGTACTGACAGTTATGCATTTCTCAGTGTCTTTCACTTCTTAACATACTGTGAGATATTTTTAAAGTTACTTAGTTTGCCTCATACTGCATTAAATTAGATTCTTGCCTTTGTGTTTCTTGGATCATAATGGAAAATGAAATACAAAATTGTTATTTATTTATTAATGTATCTTGTTTGACACTGTGAAATAAGCTTTTATTTAAGCAAAAATAGTTGGGAGAACTGTCTGTAGTTATGAGAAATCCCTTTGTTTCTTTGCAGTTTGACTTTGGGGGGAAGTTAGCAGTTGGGAGAAAGAGCGTCAGGAGCCCTGGGAGGAGCGTACTCCGGGCAGGGCCTTTCCGGACTCGACACCCAGGCGTGCTGGCACCGTCTCCGTCCCTCCTGGCGGGGCTGTCTCAGACCTGCCAGAAAGTGGCTTCCGGCTTAGTGCTTCACTTTATTCGTAATTTATGTTTTTATTAGGACTAGAGAGTACAGCTGGTCCTTGATGTATTGAAGCACTGTATTTTAGAAATTACAGATTTCAGAAACCTTACATGCTTATTCAGGAGGAAAAACAAAGATTAGTTTTTACGTGGTTTGTATTTGATGAGTATGACTTTTCCACTTGACTCCACATTCTGAACAGTGGACACAGTGACGGATGAATAGTACCTGTGTGCTGTCTATAGATTTATTAAACTCACTGCTTTAGATACGCTCAAGGGCTCGAGATTCTGTTTGCAATTATAAAGATAGGTCTTTAGTTCTACTCGATTGTTGGCTCACAGGTGAGCTCACTTTCCTTTGGTTTTCTCTCAGATTCACGAGAAACTCCACTCCTATGAGAAGCAGAGTCCAGTGCCCATCCTGCATGGCGCGGCCGCCCTGGCCGATGACGTAAGTGTGCCTCTCTGAGCTCCCGGGACGTGGCTGCTGCAGACCTGGCTGGGGCCAGACCCATCCCGGTGCAGACAGACGTGTGTGATCCTCCGAGTGAAAACCAGAAGAAGGTGCAGATGTTTCCAAAAGCCCTGTCATCACCGAGCTTATGCTGATATTATGTTGATTTTCATTCACTTTCCTGTTCTGAAAAGCATGCATGTAGCTCCGCTCACGTTCCGCCTTGGTAACTACGTAATAGAAATTTTAGGCTTCAGACTGTGTGGAGAGAGAGAAGCTGTCAGGCGTTAGTTTTCTGAGACAGTCACAGACAAGGGGAATGCTTTAGAGAAATAAAGACAAATGAGATAAGTTATATTGCTGACAGTGCTAAAAAATGACAGGTACTAGGAAAGGAATGAGGCATATGAAATACATGAAAAGATGGGATTGTATTTAAAATGGATTATAAAGCATAGTAATGATTTATGGATATTAGACCTTTCCAAATTACCTTCATAACCAAAAAATAAATTTTAGAAGCAGTTGGCATTGATGGAGTACTTAATTTCCTGTAGCTATAATTTTATTTTAAGCCTGAGGGAGGGGACCTCGCTTGCTGATGCCCCCTGTTAGCTTTCAGACTCGGATGGATTGAGCGCACACCTGGATAAACTAAGAAGGACACTCAGCGAGGCGAGAAAGGTGCTTAGTGTGTGGCAGTGACAGCCTGTAGCTTACTGGTTGCTTTACAATGTTTTGCTTCTGTACAGTTTTGCAAACTGTCATTCTGTTCATTAAAATTTCAGGGTCATAATATACTAAGAAAAAGATTAGCCATCTTCAGGAGTTGACTTTCTTTGATATACTTTTATATTTTAATTTATAAATTAATGCACATGTAATAAATATCTAAGTTGTGAGCTGTTTGCTTAGTCCTCAGATGTCTTCCTCGCTACATTTATCGACAGACATTGCAAGTGTGTTCAGTATATATGTTTAACATGGAAGTTTGCTTCTGTGTTGTAGAATCAAAACTTTTGAGATGGAGAGTAAGGGTATAACTATAGGTGTCTTAGTAGACAAGACAGCAGTAATAACTTGAAAAAGCCTTGAAAAGTTTTAAAACACCTACTGTTGAGCATTTTGGTAAACAGTTGGTAGAAACCAGTGTAATTGAACCCTAAGTAATATAAAATTGCTCTTTTTAAAGATTAGTATCTGAGGCTGGGGTGTGGCTCTGTGGTAGAGCACTTGTCCAGCGTGTATAAGGCTCTGGATTTAATCCTCAGCACTGCAAAAGTAACAAATTCATTAATTAAATGAAAAATTAGAATCTGCTCCATAAACAGGTTAAGACTGTTTTCTACTTCATCAGAGCAATGTATTTAAATGTTAAAATATATTGTATATTAAACAACTTAAAATACAAAGAGCCTTTTTGTAATTTAAAAATTCTGTAAAAATACTGCATTGAAAAAGTAAAAGCAACTTTATAATGCAATTAATAAATTAGTGAGTTTTCTCTGATTCTACTTTCCGTGTATATTATGATCCTCTCCTAGAGAAAAGTCTTTTTCCAAAGATAAGAATCATTATTTTTAGCATAGTAGAAATAGTAGAGGCAAATGGAAATTTTAGCAGTGTTTTAGGAAGGTTTTAAAAAAATATAGAGATGATTTGAACTATGTACAATATAGTTCATAATGTTAATATTTTTTACTATTTGAGTCTTTTTTTTTCTTAAAAATTATATGATCCTCGAGTTTGATCCCTGGTACCAAAAACAAAACAAAACAAAAAAATTATATGATCCTTCCTATAGCCTAAAATTGATGGAAATTTTCATAGGAAGATCTTTTGAAGTTTCATTTTATTTTTAATTGGCAGATGATAAATGTACTTGTTTATGAGATGCAATGTGATATGCTTATTTTTCACCTGAGACATATATCATTTCTTCATAGTGAGAACATTCAAAATCTCTTAATGGAGAACATGAGGCAGGTTCAAAGTTCCAGTCCTTTCTTTAGACAGACAGAACCAACCAGTAGGAATTTTTGATGATTACAGTGGAGTACAGTGAGCAGTTTTAGTTATCAGACTATTACAGGTTTATGATTCACTTGGTTTATATTTAACAGACTTCTTAGTCTGTATAGGTAAACATAATAAAAGTTTCAGGTCATTTACTCTATTAGGAGTATTCAAGTTTTTTTGTTTTTTTTTTTGTCCCAGCTCTAAACAGCCCAGCTACTGTGGGCTTTTGGAAACCCTGTGGATTTCACCACCTCATTCAGGAGCCCCCTCCTCCAATGTCAGAGCTAAATCCAGTCCTTTTTACAAATGGTCCTTTGTCTGCATACAAAGGCCCTTCACGCAGATGAAGTGCTGGGACTTGCCCTCGTTGCAATAAATCAGAAAGTGATCTGGCTGATAGGATCACTCGAATTGTACTCAGCTGAGGACTGGGCTTGAATCTAGTCTACCAAGGGCCTGGGAAGAAGAGTACTGACTGATGGTCTGCTTTCTTTCCTGCTGACTTCTTAAACACTGGCAAGCCTTGAGCAGAGCAGCTTCTCACTTATGACACACTGAAACTCCACAATGCTCTTGCTAAACTTACGTATGTCAATGTAATCTCCCTTGCAGCTGGCCGAAGAGCTTCAGAACAAGCCATTAAACAGTGAGATCAGAGAGCTGTTGAAACTACTGTCAAAACCCAATGTGAAGGTGAGGACATGTTATGCCTGCAATAAATACCTTCTAAAAGAACCACTTTCTGAGCCTTCAGATGAATTGTCTCAAGCATCAATTTTCAAGTAAATGCATTTTCAAAGCGTATACAATATTTTAAGAGCCTAAATCCTATTAGGGAAAAAGAATTGAGCTTTTAAAACTTACAATGTTGTGACAAACTACATTGTACTTTGAGAAGCTCAGAATTTAATTTGGCAAATATAATGTAGCTTCAAGGTTATTTTCCTTTTTGGTGAAGTTAACAGTACCAAATAGAGAACCTACTAGTGATTTTGTGTAGGTTTCTTTTATGTGGCCAGTTAATGGTGTTTCAGTATATTTGATAAATGTATCTGTTTCTCTATAGGATTCTTTCAGCATTTCTCTTCCTTTTCTGCCTTCCATCTCCCCATTTCTGCCTCTCTACCAAGTCATGTTTCAAAATATTGTATCTTTTTGCAGAACAGAGCAGTTTTCCAATATAAAATACCTGTAAAATATTGATAGAGAGACTTCAGTTCTTTCCTGCCCACTTCTTTCCAAGTTTATCACTTATTTTTCCCTCCAAATGTGATTTGTGCAGAGCAGACATTTCACACTTTTCCTGCCCTTATTCTGAGATCACTAATGCATAAAATCCTATCATGTCCATACATTTTGACCTTGACATTACTGCACTTGTGTATGAAGCATTGTTCCATGAGGCAAAAGTACGTATGAATTCCGTAATTAAAATGATCAGTTATCTTTTGATGATTATTGGTAAGTATATATACTGTTGAATGAAGATTTTTGCCTAGATGCAAAAACTGCCTTCTATGTGCTTGGCAAAATATCCTTTGAAACCATACTATATAGATTTGAAATTTATATTCAATAAAAGAAAGATAGTATTAAAGGTGAAGTAAACCTTTGCATGGACTATAATATCTGTGCTCTCTAAGTAATGTAAGTATACAAATATATTGCTATAGAGGGTAAATGAACTATGAATCATAGTGCAAGAGTAATTGATTTGAAATGGTTCAGGAGGTTGATTAAACCTGTTCGTCAGACTACAGCAGAAAAGTTGCTTGGTATTAAAGACCAGTGTGCCCAAAGATGAGATCCATAGCTCTTGAGCACTCTTAGGATTTCTTCATTTGATCTTAGACTCCATGTAAGAAATTGATATCAACCAGAGAAGGATAAGGTGAGCTCTGAGAAGCTTGTTAAACTCTTTAATATTGGAAATTAAAGAGGAGTGTTTCAGACAAAAAATAATATTGGTATTTTACTTAAGTACGTTTAAAATGGAATAGCTAGTAAAAAAGAGATTATACTGGATGGAAGCTGGTTTTTGGTTCAAGAGGGAGGCATCAGTTAGAAGATATCATGAAGACCCATTTGATAAAATTTCATAGTAAGTGCTTAAGTTTCATTTTGTGCAAAATATTTTACATGGTTTATTTTTATATTTATACAGCAGTGTGATTAAAAATGGTTGAGAAGTCACCATGAAAAATGTATATTTGAGAAGTTTGTGTAGAAGCTGGGTGAGATTCCAGACACATGATGTTTCAGTTGACCATGCCAATCCATGGTGAGGCAGTCTTGAAAAGAAAGTATCCTTCTTTCATTTTTGATTCCAGATTTAACATTGCTTTCCCTGAAGTCATTTGTATTAACTGCCATCATGTTGAATGTCACTTCTATAGGCAATTCCTTTAAAAAGTTCAGGACTGAAATAAATTCTGGAGTATTTCAGAATATAACCTGTCAATTCTTACCATCAAGGGAATAAACTGAAATACTTGCCTTTTCTCCCTCTTTGAAAGCAGAAGCAGAGTGTAGCAGAATACAACTTCTACCACATGCTCTGTTAGCTGAACTAATAGTTGAAATATGAAAAGTTTAATTCTGGTGTGTTAATTTGTATGTCTGTAATTACTAGTGAATAAAGGAAATTATTTACTTCTTAGACTGCTATTCTGTTTTAAATATTTAATTTAAAGTCCTGAAAAGAAAACTGAGATTCACCACAACGTGAAATGACTTTCGTTTTTTGGCAGCCATAGACACAACCAAATGTGCAGCCACTCTGGGAAGTAATACATGTACCACAGGTCTTCCCACGGTTTTTAGGGACTTACGTGACTTTTCCTTGGTAATTTGTAAATGTTAACACAGACACACCATTCATTCATTCTTAGATATTTATTTGATGCTTGCTGTGTGCCAGGCAGGCCCTTTGAATACGACTTGTAGAAGACAGATTAACGAAGGTGGGAGAAGTATCAAGTAAGAAAAGGGAACATATGGAATGGCAGAATGTACAGGAATCACCCTAAATCCAAGCTTGGGCCAGGGCGAGGTGTTGTGGGAGAAAAGCACTGTACAGAGGACTGGAAGGTCTAGTCGGAGGGAACCAGAAGGGGACAGAGGAGGTGGTGGTGGGGTATGAAAAACAAGTATTTTAGGTAAAGTCCAAACCTGTAAAGTTGGAGGATGCAAAGTAAGTTGTGCACAGCTGGGCAGAACCCTGTTAAAGAGAGCAGATAGGAGTTTAGGGCTGGACGGTTGAGCCTTTTGAGGGGGCTTGGGCAGCACAGGCTGGTCTGTACCTGTGCTCCCAGCTGTATTATCCACAGCCTGCTCTCACGGTTGCTTCCCTATCTCAGCGATGAAGCCAGTGACCACCCTAAATTGTGAGGATATTCAGAAGTTTGGATTTTGTCCTAAGTGCAGTGAAAAACCTTGGAAAGGGTTTAAATAAGGAAGTGACACAATCACTCCCTGTGTAGGATGCAGAGCAGACTTTGAGGTGCGTGGGGGAATGGAAAGCTGCATGGCTGGGAAGAATTCAGGCGGTCACCATTGTAGCCCTGGTGAAGGCAATGGTTTGAGTTGTTTGAAGGGGTAACATCACTGCTCAGTGTTAGAATAACTGGTTAGTTATTTGGGAAAAAATGAGAAAAATCCCACTAGAATGAATTCCAAATAGATTCAAGGTTATGTGTAAAAAATTGAACCGTAAAAATATTACTGGGGCTCAGTAGTGAAGTGCTTGCCTAACACATGAGGCCCTAAATTCAATCCCCAGCATTGCAAGAAGAAAAAAATATACATTAGCAAAAACTTGATAATTATTTGGTCATGATAGATAAGTATTCATAAGCACAGGGACAGACACAAACTGAAGTGCAGTAGTGTGAACACATACACACTCAAACACACTCAGACACACAAGGAAAGTTTTTTTTAAGCATGAAGGAATTTAGAAGGAAAACTATATAAGTGATTTATTTTATTTTCTTCTTTAGTAAGATAAGTTGTTTATTTTACTTTAATTTTACCTTTTATAAGCTGACTTGATAAAGACCAAAAACCAGAAGTATTCTTTTTTAATAGTGTATGATTGTGTTTTTAATTCAAACTATGGTGTTTTAGTGAGGACAAGTATCTTTTGATATCCTTAGTGACTTTTCTGTGAATTGTGTGTTCATAAACAAGGGGTGATCAGCATAAACAGTGCATATTTACATTTTAAAAAGTCATTACAGTGAAAGACACATTGCCATTAATTCCCCTCAAAATACTCCCCATCACTTCAATCACACTTATCTCATTTTTCTTGCCACTTTCTGAAATAGTTCTGGAGCCAGGCGTGGTGACGCATGGCTGTAGTCCCAGTACTTGGGAGGCTGAGGCAGAAGGATTGCTGCAAGTTCCAGGCCAGCCTGGCCTACACAGTGAATTTAAGGCCGCCTGAACTACATAGTGAGACACTGTCTCAGACAAACATAAAATAGTTCTGGAAATCCTCTTTCAGGAGTGCCTTTATGAGATATGACCAAAAAAATACAGTGAATACTGGCACCTACTAGCATCCAACAGAAAGGCTGGTGTGTAAAACAACAGAATCGTGTGTCCTCATCCACCTTATTCATGGAACCTGGCACCCGACAACTTCTGGCTCTTTCCCAAAGTCAAAATAACCATGAAGGGTAAACGTTATAAATTAATTTGGGACATTGAGACAGCCATGAGAGTACAACTAAAGGCCCTCACGAAGGAGGACTTCCAGAAGGGGTTCAGAAAGGGGCATGAGCGATGGGACAAGTGTGTTTGGGGCAAGGGGGATTAATGGCAGTGTGTCTTTTACTAGGGTGAGTTTTAAACATTCAAACACTCACTGTCCTTTTCAATCACACTGCTAGTTCCTCATCATTATTAAATGTACATTTTTCCTCTTTGAATAGGATCATAGAATGTACTACTTAGATTTTTATTTTTAACATTTTGAAATTTTGAGGACTTCTCCTTGAATCAGCATAATTGCTTAACTTATCCTTTAGAAATGGAGCTTTCTGTTATTTAAAAAACACTGTTATGTACTTTTTTTGTATATTACAGAATTTTGTGGTATGTTGGATCCAAATATATATTTATTAGGTTAATAAATTGTTGGCTATTAATGTGTCCACATTTTAAGTTTTTAATAGCTATTGCTAGCTTGTACTTAAGATAGGTTCTTTCCATGTACAGTAATACGTGAGGTCTGTTTTCCCATGTAGTTGTGATTAATATGAAATTAATCACATAAGCCCTGTTTAGTCAGTGTTTTTTTTTTAGAATCACTATTTGTCCACCATCAGAGCTGGGTTGTTTGGGTTTTGTTTTTGGTGTTTAAGTGGATGGTAGTTTCTAGTTTGATTCATGCTGATGATAGGATATAGCATATTTACTTTATGTAAAATTTGCTAGATTTTTGTTTGCTACTTTGATTAATTTGTATAAATATATACCATAGCTACATGAAAATAATATTTTTTTTGTCTGAATGTGGTCCTGTTCAAGTTCATATCCAAAGTTAAATATACAAAGTGACTATTGAAGAATGAAGATAATAATTATAATTAATTATAACTAATGTTGTTTATTATAGAACAGGCTTTTGCCAAGCACCTTCATGCGTTATGCCTGTAATAAATATGAAATCATATTAAATAAGT